AAACGTCTCAGGTTATGACTTTAATCCTCTGAGTGATTGTGTCTGAAGCACGCGTGTCAACCAATGGTGAGATGGAACATCGCGATCAGGAAATCATGAAAGTACATCCGGAATAAACTGGCATTAGCTTCAATAAGCGGAAGCAAGTCAATCACAGGGATGAAGGAAGTATGGCAGGACGACGCAGCATCTCATTCCCTTCTCAGGTAAAACGGGTTACAGTCGTAACCTCGGACGTTCCCTTTCGAGGGAACTCGCGCTGCGTCAAGGACACTTTGGGAATGACACTGCCCAAACGCCATGCTTACAAATGCCTGTCTGTGTGAATACTATGAGCACAACTAGGACATGAGCACCTGTGAACCTGGTGCAGAGCCCAGGTCCAGGTTGTAGAACCTCGTGAAAGTGAGTGGAGAGGACCAGCCGGCCGCATCACAAACATCTTGAAGGGACACACCCGAAATTAAGGCCTTGGAGGTCGCCATTACTCATTGTAAAATGAGCTCTGACAGCCAAAGGTGATGGCTGGCCAGAATCCTCTTAAGCACGAGAAATAGCCTCAACTATACATTTGCTGACTGTCTGTTTGGATGCTGGGAGCCCCTTTTTAGGCGATCCAAAGCAGCCAAATAGCTGATCAGTTTTCATCCACAGGGCAGGTCTGTGGACAAAAGCATCCGGCGCTGTCATTGGACACACAAGTTTCAGATTTTCCTGGTCCTGATCTCTGAGGGGAGAAGGGCAGAACGCTTGCAAAACAATAGGCTGCGGTACATTGGTCGGCACTTTAGGGACATAGCCTGGCTTTGGGTAAAGATTTCCTTTACCATCTCCGGTGCGAACTCAAGGCACGCAGGGTATACTGACAGGACCTGGAGAACTGCTACTCTTTTAAGCGAAGTTATCGCTAGAAGAAACACTGTCTTTAAGGTCAGAAACTTTCCTGGAATAGTCTCAAGGGGCTCGAAGGGAGCCGCCGATAATCCTTCAAGCACAATAGCAAGGTCACAGGCTGGAACTCTGGTGCGAATTGCAAGCCTCAGCCTCAAAGCACCACAAAGGAAACGAGTCATCAACAGGTTCCTCCCCACAGATACACCACCCAAAGGGAATGGTAAGCAGATATGGCCGCCACGTACACCTTCAGTGTGGAAGGGGATAGCCCTGCAGAAAAATTCTATCACTGAACCAACTGGGCAGTTTACTGGATACCACTCTCGAATGCTGCACCAAGAAGCGAAAACCCTCCACTACAAGGCGAAAAGTTTCCTCATGGAAGGGGCTCTGGAGTGAAGTATGGTCTCAACAACCTCAGTTGAGAGACCTGAGCCTATGAATTGGGCCCCCTAAGAGGCCAAACCCACAGGTTTCATATGTCTGAAGGATTGTGCCTCCCCCTGAGACAGAAGGTCCCTCCTGACCGGAATCCTCAGGGGAGAGCCGTTGAGGAGGCACTCTAGGCCCGAGAACCACACTTGGTTCGGCCAGTACGGGGCTACTAGTAGTAGACAAATTCCGTCCCGACGGACCTTTTCCAGAACTACTGGGAGCAGAGCAATTGGGGGGAAAGCGTACAACGTACGTCTGCAGACGCAGCCTCGGCCATGTCTGTACCATAGCATAGCAGGTGTGTGAGGGAGAACCAAAGTGGACACTGTGTCGTATCCTGAGACACTAACAGATCCACTTCCACTTGGCCATACACTCCCCATATGCGCTCCACCACCTCAGGGTGAAGTCTCCACTCCCCGGGCCTCAGCCCCTGTCTAGACAGGATGTCTGCTCCTTGTCTTGGTACCCCGGCATGTATACTGCTCTTCAGAGAGACATTATTTATCAGAGAGACATCATTCCCATGAAGTTTACGTGCCAAAAGAAATTATGGCTCCTCCACAGACCCTGAGCTGAGTGGCCTTGCATCACCGCTCCCACGCTCGTGAGAGAAGTATCTGTCATGAGCGAGACGTGATGACAATGAGCTTCTAACACAGCACCCTGGGACAAGAACCAAGGTTTCCTCCATATAACCAAGGTGTAGAGACACCTGTGCATGACCTTGATCATACGAAGTGGGGTCCCCCTTAGAAAAAAACCCCATGGTCCTGAACCATCACTGCAAGGGTCCCATGTACAGCAGGCCAAACGACCTCATTGGACGCATCTGCCAACAACCTCTGAAACTGTTTCACAGTGAGCGACTGGCCTAGCTTCATCCAATTCATGGCTGTGAAGATAGCAGCAACACGAGCAGGCGATAGAACGGCCTGCATCGTCACTGAATCCACATCATACCAAGAAAAATGGTCCTCTGCCATATGTTCTGACTGCGCTAGAATTAGCCAATAGTCTATACAGTTCAGAATGCAGATATCTTGAAGTATGAGTGGCGCCAGAGCTGCATCATAGCTTCACCGAAGAGGCGTCACAGGAGCCGAGAATGGATCATCAAGCAGGAAGGCTTTGTCTTTTTCCTTGATGTCAGACAGATTAAGCCAGGGACGCCTCTCCATGGCCACCAAAGGCTGCCATAGACTGCCCAATTGCTCTCGCGGTCACTTTTGTGGCCCGGAAAGACAAATCTGTGGCCCGACGCAATTCTTGAACAGCATTGGGCCATACCTCCTCGCCATCGTCCATCTGCCCGAGGGGAATTTGGTCTGAACTCAGAGTACTCTCCCCATCCCAGACTGGGATAAGAATAGTTAGGCGTGAGAAGATGAGGTGGTGGAGGGATGGTGGAAAAATGTAAAACACTACTACTGTATATTGTATCTTTTACCTGTTCAATGTGCAGTAAAATGTACAGCAGTTTGTCACATATAAATGTATGTGCACAATACACTGTATATGCCGCATGTATGCACAATTGATAAACTTTACAGTTATTGAACTGAACTGAATTAACACTGAACTAACTTGAGCTGTATAATGACACCTTTGGCTTGTTAGAGCTGCTTTACAGCAGAATTGAATTTGTTACTATTGTGAAGCTGCTTTGAAACAATCTGTAATATTGTGTAAAGTGCTACAGAAATAAAGGTGACTTGACTTGTATGCATATTCAGTTTATAATTACAAAAATAAACAGAAATGCGAGGGTCAAAAATGTATTTGTTACTAAAAACATTCCGTTTGGATTTCTAAGTGATCAAATTAGGTTTAAGTGTTTTCACACATGATCATTGGTTGTAGGTTATTGGGAAAATATTGTGGCATTTAAATTGCAGTGTTATCTAAATGAAACATAATAGCTGTTAGTTTTGAATGATATGTCTAATGTAGAGAACTGTGTTTAGCATTTTGCTAAAAGTTTGTTTTACAATTGCAAACTGAGTGTAAAGCAGATAATGTGGCAAACCAACATGCAATACCCCCTTCCTTCCTTTTGATGCTCTTATATGACAATGATATATACACACGACTCCCAGTCCACTCAATCTCCCAGTAAGAGCGTCCACACACTCTCTCTACACAACTGCTGAAAACAACAATCAAATCTGTCTGGATGATCAGGATACGGCTGCTCTGTGTCAGTGCCAGTAATCACTCTGTTCCTCTCAGACAGACGGAGGCATTTATGCAGTGTGTTCAGATCCTGAGTGAGGTGATAATGGGAATCTATTGGAGAGAAAACACATCAGAAATAGGATTCGATGTAGCCAAACTCTTCATGAATCAATGTCCAATGTATTAGCAGCATCTCAGTACAGCTGACCAAATATCCTGCGCAAATCACATTCTACATGATCAATTTTAAAACTATTATATCATGATTTCTTTCACCTTCTAGAGGAAGAACATGAACACATTTAGTGAGTTTTCCTGCTTGTTTTCTTAGTGACTCGCATTGTAGAAAGTCGTTCCTGGTCTTGGGATTCATGTTGGTGAAAGTGACTGTGGAAATACACAGACATGGTCAGTGTGAAGAAAAATAAATTGATTTCTAAGACATTTTTAAGACAGGGATCCCTAGATGCACCAAGGAGGAACTCCACAAAGCGGCTAAAATTGTGCTTAAAGGTAAGTCATGGTGGAATTCCTCCAGAGCTTTTCCAAGGTATCTGGGACATTGTGGCTCCCCTAATTCTTAAGTCCATGAATTACGCCACTGATCACGGTACACTTCTCAGAGATAAAAATATAGACCTCATTAATGTGTTGCTTACAAAGGATAAAGATCCATTAAGTTGCTCTAGTTATCACCCAACATCTTTGATGTCAGCCAATGTCAAGATCCTATCTAAAGCATTGGTTTTACAACTGGAACCATACATTGACGATCTGATCCATTATGACCAGACTGGCTTTTTGAAGAGCAGTCTAGCATCGGAAAATATGCATAATAAGGGAACGGGCAGTTCCCTTTCGAATGGGAACTCGAACTGCGTTGAGAGATGAGAGTTAAGAACTTACTTTCTGCGGCTTGGGTCCAGCGGCCACCACTGTGGGAGGAGTTGAACAGGAATATTTTTGTTTAAAGGGATACTCCACCATTTTTTCATATTAAACTATGTTATTCCCTTAACTAAGACGAGTTAATACATACCTCTCTCGTCTCAGTGCGTGCACTCAATTGCTCTGGCGCGTGAGACACTTGATAGCACTTAACTTAGCCCAGTTCATTCATTAGGATCCAAACAGAGAAGCGACCAAACACCTCCACATTTTCCCTATTTAAATACAGTTACAGGAATGGTGACACAAAATAAAACGTTGCGCTTTTCTAAGCGTGTAAAGTGGATAACTGTAATGTATGGTGGAATACCACATTTCATAAGAGCAGAATGAGCTGTTGACTGAGATGTTGTCAGGAATTCAGTGGCGGAATACCACAGCAAGTGCTTGGGAGCACTTCGACTCGGCGCAGTAATATCATCACTCGTGAAAAGTCACCTCCCCCTCTCCCTCTCCGGAGTGATGATATTACTGCGCTGATATAGATATATATGCGCTGAGTCGAAGTGCTCCCAAGCACTTGCTGTGGGATTCCACCACTGAATTCCTGACAACATCTCAGTCAACGGCTCATTCTGCTCTCATGAAATGTTTCTCTGTCATAGCAGGATCTTGCTCAAGTCCACTATGATCCTGTTCTCCTAGATCTCTGTTACCTGCAGGAACTGGATGTGATCTTGTGTGTGTGAAAGCTGCTCCAGCTCAGCGTCTCTCCTCCTCAGATCATTGATCTCCTGCTCCAGTCGCTCCAGTCGTCCTTCAGCTCGACTCACTGCAGTCTTTTCCTGATCTCTGATCCGCTGTGTGACCTCAGAGCGGCTTCTCTCAATGGAGCGGATGATCTCAGTGAAGATCCTCTCACTGTCCTCCACTGCTGTCTGTGCAGAGCGCTGTTACACACACATCACAATCACACAGTGGCTTCAGCAGGACTGACAGAGTCCAAACTGAGACGTCTCACACTTCTCTTCTTCTCCAGACTCACCTTATGAGACTTCACAGCCTCTCTCAGATGCTGAAGATCTTTCTGTCTCTGCTGGATTCTCTGACGGATCTTCATCTGCGTCTCCTTCAGCTGTTTCTGGAGGACAAACCAATGACAGCAAATGACAAAAAACTACTAGCACACAAAAATCTTAGTTTCATTCTAGCTTCATGCATTATTTTTATAACACTTGCATGTTGGTAAGTTTCATTAAAAACAAGCCACATTCTGAACAAAAAGCTTTTTTTCAAAGACTACAACTGGCAATGCTTTGATCACTCGTCTCTGCCTCTTGTTTGCCTGTCTTTTGATCCGGAGATTCTGTTCTCTTTCAGAAGATGCATGATAGCACCCCCTACCATATAAAAGTGAAAACACGGAAAGCCGGAAAATCCGTCAATGGCGGGGAAAGAGTTAAACAAATTACGACAAGTTGTGATCATAATGATTACAATATATAAAACATATAAAACATTTGTCATTTTTTTATGTTGATTCATTGTTAAGCATCATCTGAAGTCCTCGCAGGGGTTGGCGTCCTCTGTACACAGGTGTTTGGTCATCTGAAATCTGTGTAAGAGTTGGATCCAAATTGGAGCTGTCGTACTCGGGAAGGAATCCTGAGGTAGAAACAGGCTAAAGAGATGCGTCTTTAATCTAGATTTAAACGGAGAGAGTGTGCCTGTGCCCTGAACATTATCAGGAAAGCTATTCTAGAGTTTAGGAGCCAAATACAAAAACTCTCTTCCTCCTTTAGTGGACTTCAATATCCTAAGTGCTACCAAAGTCCAGAGTTTTGTGACCTTAAAGAGTGTGATGGATTGTAGGGTGATATAAGATTGGTTAAATACACAGGAGCTAAACCATTTTTGGTCTTAGTCAGTAGCTATACATTGGAATCAATACAGAACTTAACTAGTAACTAGTGTTGATAATAAAATTGGGGTTATATGATCATATTATCTTGCCCTTGTACTCTAACTGCTGAACTTTGGACTAACTGTAGGTTGTTTATTGAGGATGCAGAACAACCACCTAGTAGTGCATTACAATAATCCAGTCTAGAGGTCATGCATGCATGAACTGGCTTTTCGGCATCTGAACCAAATAACATGTTCTGTAGCTTAGCGATGTTTCTGAGGTGGAAGAAGGCTTTTTTGTAACATGAAATATAATTTTTGAAAGACAAGTTGCTCTCTAATATGATATACTATAGAGGATAAAGTAACACTGCATCCAGATGTAAATTGTATTCTAAAACATTCTGTGTACAAGTTTTTGATCGAATAAGTAATATCTCAGTCTTATCCGAAAATACTAGAAGAAAATTACACAACTCTTTATTTCGATAGTCCACTTTATACATTCTACTAACTATGAGTAACTTTGCAACTACATGTCAGCTAACTGTCATTAGAGTATTAATAAACTGTGTGCTTAATATTTGCAAACACTTTATTGTGATGGTCCCCCAACAGATATTATATTGACTTTAAGTAACTTGGCAACTACAATTCAGCTTATTCTACTAACCCGAACCCTAACACCTAATCATAACCTAACAGTCTACTGACAGTCTACTACAGTCTACTAATACTCTAATGAAAGTAAGTTGACATGTAGTTGCAAAGTTACTTATAGTTAGTAGAATGTCTAAAGTAGACTTTCGAAATAAAGTGGAACCAAACATTACTGGTATATCTTTAACACACTCTGTCCACTAAGATAATTTAGAGATTTCACTTGGTCGTGATGAAAAATATCAGCATAACAGTGGGAGCTAATTCTATTATAATAGTATTAACAAGGGGCAGCATTGATATTGAAAAGAGCAGATGGCCTAAAACAGACCCTTACAGCACTCCATATTTTTACTAGTGTTAACTTGGATAATTCCCAGTTTAACAAGTTTGTTTGCCCATATAATTTTTAAGATATTAAACTTAACTGGCCTGCTGTCCACGGATGAGGGGCTTGATGAAGCAGCTTCCCCCCACAGTGAAAATGCCCCCCACAGTGACTAAATATAGGATATGATTACTTCTATTTATTTAGCACACCATAATACGCATAATACCCCCTCCCACAAAAGGAGTGAAAAATGTAAGTAGTATTAAGAATAGAGCTGAGTTTATCGGCATGGAGTCGTGAATGAACACTGTTGCGGTAGTGAAATTTAACGGGGCTCCTGCGGGAGCTGGGCTTGAATGCGTCTCCCTACTATGTGCACCATGTGGAGCAATGAGCGGACTTCTGCTGCAGCAGTATTATTATTTTGTAATAGCTCCGGAAGGAGCTGTGTTGGAAAGTGTATGCCTGCATTCGTTGCTGCTGTGTGAACAACATGGGGCTTGTGGAAGTTTGACTTGGATGCATCCCGCCACTGCACTGCTGTGACAGTGACTTTCCAAAATGACTCCTGCAGGAGTTATGCACTCAAAAAAATGATATGTTGGCTTTACTTAACTTTTTTGTGTAAACAGGTTCCACCGGTTCCACATAACTATGTTTTGTTAAACAAACATAATATGTTCATGTAACTTCAACATCATGGAATTTGGTCATTTTAAGCGACCCAATTAAACTCTGAGCTAATGAGTTAATTAAGTGAATAACTGAGTGATGATTGAGCATTATTGAAGACACCTGATGTTAACAAGCAGAATCTCTGAAGGAGAAAACCAGAATGTTTAAGTCACCATTATGGAGATAAGTGTGTGTTTTAGTTGGGCTCTTGACCATTAACTTATTAACTTTAGATTTTGATTGGTTGCTGTACATGAGTTATAACAGCCAGGTGAACAATAAACAAAGGTCATCTGATGGTGTTGGTTGTGTTTTAACATAATCATTATTTCACAATCATTTGACCTCAATCACTGAACTTACATTAAACCGAATTTCTGAGTTAAGTTAACCTTTCGAATAATAGCAGCATTGTCATTGTAGAGCATACTATTTTTTTCAAATGATCAAATCAAGAAATTAAATATAAACTGCTTAAAAAATATGTTGAGTAGGCATACACAGACATCAAGAATCAGCATATGAATCTCAGCAATGGTGACAAACAGATCATAAGCTCATTATTTATTCATGCAGCAATGCATGATGGGAGCCATGAATGAGTTTTGATTGGTAGCACCCAGAATGCACTGCAACATGCTTTATAATTGTCACCATTGTTGAGATTCACAGGCTGATTCTTGATGTCTGTGTGTGCCTACTCAAAATATTTTTTAGGAAGTTTCTTTTTTATTTATTGATTTGATCATTTGAACTTCATTGAAAAGTCTAAAAAATAGTATGCTCTACAATGACAATGCTGCTATTATTCGAAAGGTTAACTTAACTCAGAAATTTGGTTTAATATAAGTTCAGTGATTGAGGTCAAATGATTGTGAAATAATGATTATGTTAAAACACAACCAACACCATCAGGTGACCTTTGTTTATTGTTCACCTGGCTGTTATAACTCATGTACAGCAACCAAACAAAATCTAAAGTTAATAAGTTAATGGTCAAGAGCCCAACTAAAACACACACTTATCTTCATAATGGTGACTTAAACATTCCGGTTTTCTCCTTCAGAGATTCTGCTTGTTAACATCAGGTGTCTTCAATAATGCTCAATCATCACTCAGTTATTCACTTAATTAACTCATTAGCTTAGAGTTTAATTGGGTCGCTTAAAATGACCAAATTCCATGATGTTGAAGTTACATGAACATATTATGTTTGTTTAACGAAACATAGTTATGTAGAACCGGTGGAACCTGTTTACATAAAAAAGTTAAGTAAAGCCAACATATCATTTTTTTGAGTGTGTGGGACTGGAGGTTTGAGTAATTGGCTGGGATGCTCCAGGTGCCTCTGAAATTGTTTCAGTGGAACTGCTGTCTTTTGTCTGAACGTATTCAGGCAGTTCAGTACAGACTGTGCGCATGTGTTGGTGAGACGAGTTGTCATGCCGACCGACTCCGGAGGGGGGGGGGTATGCTTTTTTCCCAGTTGACCAAAAGCCATAGATGGGTAAGGTGCCTGAGAACTAGGTCCCAGTGTCCGCATAACTGGCCCGTGGCGAATGAAGGGGTGGCTGAGATTGAGGAAGCTGAGCATTGCTTCGATGAACGCTTCAAGGGTTTAGTGGGCCTGGACGGGCTGAGTCACCTTCCTGCGGGGTGCACGACGGGGTGGATGGGATGAGCCCCGGAGCTGGTGTAGACACCGAAGGGGGACGCCCTCGGCGACGAGCAGGCTGAGGGCCAGCCCGAGGTGGCTTGGTGGCACGGCGGGGCAGGATTTGTTTTATGGCTTCAGGCGTCTTCTGGACTGCCGAGAACTGCTGGGCGAAGTCCTCAAAAATTGTCAAAACAGCACTTATTATATTTTTATTGTTTTAAATGGCGCTCATTCGTTTCTGTGAAGGACCAAAGTAGAGGACACATGCGAAGGCAATCACCCCCAAAACTCTGACACCCCTTTGAACGTGCTGCACATATGTACTTCTTTTGTGGTTGAAATAATAATTTAAGTGTGTAAATATATGATTTCCTGTTCATTGTTTTGTTTGTTTTTTCATTTTCATTGACATTTGTATATATAAATGTGTTTTAAAGTTTAGAATTACAGTTATTACGTTGTTGTGTTAGGCTGTAGGCAGTTGCACAGTGAATATTACCCCAAAGCACAACCTTGTAGGTGTGTAGGTGTGTAGGTGGTATTTTCACCCCAGTGCAGTTACGACATTAGCAGACTAAAGAAGCAGACTAACGAAGCCAGGCTAATTGTATCAAAGTCAGCTTGGAACTACTAGCCTGGTTAAAACCAGACCATTCTCAGTTGTAACTGAGTTATGGTCTGGCAAAGCGTCATAGACAAATCATTTCCAGAGGGAAATCATCACCAACGGACGTCGCGGATAGACCTAAAACCAATCAGAGCGATGAAGGAGATGACGTATGCAGAGCGGTGGAGAAACATCTCCGAGTGTTGTTCTTTGCTCGGTTTTTAACAAAAAGGAAACGTTCAAATCGCTTAAAACAGACGCGATAGCTGATTCGAACGAGTGATGCATCAACGTTTCTCAACG